TTAATTTACTGAATGAATAATTTGAAAAAAATTTAATATCTCGATATCATTATATTTGACATATCATAAGAGTCTGTAATAGACCTACATGAATAAAGATATTTTGAATTTGAATTTGAATTGAATCAATTTACGACAGTTACCTATTCAGGTTACGTACATATAAATATTCATTTACATCAAGTACGAAAGAATTGGTAGGTGTAAATTCAATAAATAATTATAATTACTTTGAATTATTGTTTCAAATTTATTTATTCCTTAATTAATTAAAATTTCCATCGGTTTAATAAACATGTGCGTTAATAACTGTGAGTATCCGTCTACCTCTTAGGTATAAAACCGTCAATAACATCAATAATTAATGTAAATACGTCGGTTTATTAATAGAAGGAATTCTTATTGATGGTAAAATTTCTATTTACGATCGTGTTCAAAATATTATTCTATTTTTAGATCACATGTCTTCTCGACCATTGAATTGATTGTTTATTAAGTTATTAGATAGTTGGAATATGTGTTTGTACAGAACCCTTGTTTTATTCACTTTCATAACTATTTTCATGCCTATATATTCCGGTTCCAGAAACTCTTGACTCTCCATAAAACTTGAATTCATACATATCTTTTTTACTTAAATATATTGTTAATCGTGACTTCGACTGCCTTTTTGGGATAAAAGGAAAACCTCGTGAGACAATCTGTTCTGGCGTTACCGCGTGAAAATGTGACAAACAGGCACACTGACTTATTTTCACATTTATATTATTAAGAACATAAATACGTACGTGTACGTACCCAACTGAAAGTATGTACAGCAAGTAGGTTCAATCAAAAAGCTTAAATCGCAATCAATCTTCTTCTATGTATAAAAAAAACTTCAAACATTTCAATCTAAACTAATATAATATAAAAACCAGTCATACCAACTGCTTCACCATTTAACCTACTAAGTGATCTCAAATATTATTTTCTGTTACCATTCTATAGCTACAAAAAACTAAGAACAATGCGCAATCTTTGTATTGTGGAGAATATAATATTTTCCTCGGAATAGGGATACTGTCACATCCACTGCCAAAACTTATTATTGCGACCGACCACGAGGAAACATTATTTTATTTACTTCTTATTAATCTCGGAATAAACTGTTCTGTGTTTTCTTTCGTATATTTGTTCGATAATTGATGTGCCTACATTATTATATCTTTCAGAATGTGATAAGCCTTAAGTGGGGTTCGTATTCCGTATTACAGTACCGTAGTAAATTGTTAGATAGGTTTTCATCTAATTTTAATATGGCCACTATATTAGTTTTAATATATGAATGCTGAATATGAAAGTTCAAAATCACCAAAAATAAAATTATTTTTTTAATTGATTGTCGGGTATAGTAAACATCTGTATCAAAATAAAATAATACCGAGGACGGCGGCAGGCTCGCCACCTGTTCCGTTGTATTAATAATACCCAATGATGCTTTTGTAATTAACAATCTTCTTACTACCCCATATGGGATTGCAATTGAAACGGTAGTTCTTATATACTTACTATTTTAATTTTATTTTTTTCTCTTTAAATTGTGTTAAATTAAGGTTCTGTACAATCTACTATGTCAGAAAGAATAGCGTCTCTTTTACACGTTTAATTATTTTTTTATTTTGTTTTCAAAAGTATTTAAGTTTTTTTTTAATTCCGTAATGTACACAACTGCAAATGTTTACAGAATGTTGGAGGGAACTGGCTTTCGTGGCACAGATTTACCTATATCGAAAGCCAGGGCTAACTGTATTTAATTGTACTGTAAATTTATATATATATAGATACATATATAGCTATACACGAGAGATGAATTTTTGGATTCTCTTAGATTATATCTGTATATATATAAAAATTAATACTTGTGAATATTTAATACAATTTGAATTTGTCACGAGACTTATTTTATACAAAAGTTATTGTACTTTACCTACCATTCGTTCTAATTGTCTGTATTATACACTCCTAAGGACAACGACATAATTACGTAGCTAATACAATAAAGATGGAATTTATTGTTATAAATTAAATTAGACTGACATATCTTTAAATACATATTTTACCATTTTGACGATCTGTAAAACGATAAAAACAATTAATATACTTGTAAATGACTGAGTAAGCAGAGCTTGAGCATCAATCACTAATTAAATAATTGTATAGGGAATGGAAAAATGAATTGCTTATAAATATCTTTAAGTGTGAAAATACAATTAACATAAAAATATAGAGTTTAAAAATAAATCACGCAAGTTCATAACATAACAGATTCGTCCAACAATAAATAAGTAGTGAAAAGAGATTACTTATATTTTTTATCTCTTTCTATAAAGAAGCATATTCCTTATATAGGGAGTTTTTAGATCGTCTGTCCGTTTATAGGATTTACTTAAACCGATGAATCCATGAAGTAGAAATTTGCTACTATGTAAATAGCGTAAAAAGCTTACGAATGATGTTTGGTATTTTGTGTGAAATAAGTCCTTATAAACACATTATTGAGAGATTTTAATAAAAAAATATATATAACTTAATTATATATAGTTTTGTGTATATAACTGTATGTATAAATTTTTTTATACTTGATAATAAAGTATTACCACAAAATAAGTTGTTGACTCACCAGATGGTTACTTGTAACCTCCGTCATATACATGAATACGTACGGCCATCACGTTATCAGTACACCCGTGATATCCGTACCAAATCCCGAGAACTAAGATGCCACGACTCGTAGCTTGTAATTACACTATCTTCTCTCACTACTCTTACAAAGCACAGCAAGTATCAGAAATATGCAAAATAATCATCAGTTTAAAATTCGATGTACAATGCAATAATTGGTAGTGTTATAAAATAGAATTTTCAATAAAATTTTAGCGAAACATTGATGATAAATATTTCTATGGATGAACACTCCATGTTGGTCCAAAGTAATATTTTTCAATGGTAGTTAGCGGTTGTGTGTAAAAGAATCCGAATAAATACAACGGCTCATTAAACAGGTTTTATTTTATTTATATAAAAACAATAAAATAAACGTGAGACACAGCACATAGTTTTTATTTCATAATTTTTATTTTTTACATTATTTGTGTATCATTGAAATAGTTTGATGATACCTACACTTGTAAACAAAACGTGAAATGGGAGCAACCCATGCAACCACAGTATATGATAAAACGAACAGTTTTGAATTCAACTTGATTATGTTCGAGAGTTGAGAGATATCAACCTACAACTAAATATACAAGTATATAATAGAATTTACACTTGCTACCTTTAAAAACTTTAATTGGAGAAATTATTTATAATATAAATTATTTTATACCATACTTCTGATGAAATAAACAATGCATATCTAAAATGTGAGCACATTCGTGAACTATTCATATCAGTGAAATATTGAAAAAGTTTAATGATACACCATGAAACAAAAAGGTGTAGTGACCTATCTGATACGAACGAAGTTTTGAATTTCACTGAAACACGATTTATTAAGGAGTTGAGAAAAACTAATCAGCAACAAACTATTTACTTACCTCGCATTATGTTCGTGTTGAAAACCATATCTGATGATTTCTAATTATACTGTACCAACTATATATACGATTATAAGAAACGCCCAATAAATTTTATAATACCTAGAACTGAAATAAATTTTAGACAACTAAACATTAAAAAAAATGAATGTGTTCTATAGTATTTTAAGTCTTAAATATAAATAATAACGTACAGTTTGATTCAGAAATAAGCTAATCAAAATATAAATTTACTTTATGTAAGCAAAACGCTATTTGCGCGGCGGTGGTTTTGCTAATGTTATATTACTCAATGTATTATTACTTAATGTATTATAGCACAAAAGTGAAATAATATTCCAATATCCAATATTTTACTATTAAAAAAATACCACATACACCATAATTATGTATCATACCATATACCTTAAGGACTCATTCGATATTTAAATATTGTTTCCGATATATTTCAGTTATCTTAAAATGTAAGAGTATGTATTTACTCGGTTATTTTCAACAGTTATTTTTTATTTATTTTGTCATAGACAGTAAATACAATGGATGATTGTTATTAGTTGGTCATTGGTTTCTTCCATAAGCTAACATTAATACTGTCTACTTCAAAAAAGAGTTATTATAAGTGTACTTTAATAAAAATCCGTCTCATTCTCTCTTTTTAAAAGGAAGATGTGAAATAATCCATTACATTCCTGTTTCACTTCTTCGTTTTCTTGGCAAATAGCGAAGGAATTCTTTTAAATAGCTATAATATTTGAATTATAAAAGTACCTAAATTAAAAATTTATATTTCTCAGGAAAAACATAGTTGGGCTGTATGCCAACTTAATTAGATTCTGACTGTTCTTTGTCTTGTATTGCTATATCAAAGTGGATACTACTATATGACTATAATATGCGGTAAGTAACGGTAATATCGTGAAGACAAGTAAAATTAAATATGTTATATCTTATCAGGTATATACTATACAGTGCTCTTATGGCTATAGTAAGCATAGATATAGAACTCTTCTATAGTCAATAGATCTTTTTAAATAATTGTAATTTTTTTATTATCTATTAACTAAACTTTATTATTGTTTACTGTCACACAATAAAACGGAACTCTTGGGATTTCCTTATTGGACCTATCGTCTTTGGAGACGACATAAATCTGAGTTAAAAGTTAATTTTGTCAATCCGGATAATTCCTCAAGGTTTAATCAGACTAAGTTGGGTGTAATTAATGTTCACTAAGGCCACACAATCTAGGAAAGCTTCGGCTTAGCCGCTACGGAAATCGGAGTTTGCAACGCTCTGGGCGGGCGCGCACCGGCGAACCGGGTTCGAGGCGGCGCGGTGCGGCGCGGCGCTACGCGGCGCGTGGGATAGCAGCGTCGTCGAGCTCCCAGCCCTACGATCCTAGCGCCAGTGCCATGGGAACGGGCGTCTGTGTGTAACGCGTTAAGAGCAGATCGGCCCTCGACGGTTTGCTTATTAAAATTTACGTCACTCGCCTGTCAAAAACTCAGTCAAACAAATAAGTTCGGACCTAATTAACTAGACGTCCCTGGAGTTTAAATGAAATTATTTTTTAGAAAGTCGCAGACGTGGAAGTGATTTTGTTTGTCGTTCTTTTTTCAATAAATCTAAAGAATCTGTAACTTTTACGAGGCTAAAAAGTTGGTGATTTCAGCTTTGTCATATACATATAAATGTACGTATTACAATAGATTATATACTGCAATATTACTATGCATGTACTAGTATATTATTATATGTTAAATATTTGGATAAGTCATTTATATATTGTTTTGTATGTAACTATTATACATACATATTATGTATAATATTATTAATAACAAAAGTAATATTATTTGTAAGACATACAATATTATTTTAATATATTTACTTCTTCTAATGTAAACTATTATAAATTATTATTAAATTTAAGCACACACTAATTTATTATAACAATTTACATTAAATTGCAAGTAAATGTAGATTTATTATTTATTTTATTTGAATATATTAGAGCTTACATATTTTGCTTATTTATGTATACATGTATATATTAGTATGTGTATACATTTGCATATATTATATAGTATTTTATTTATTTATATCTTAATATTTATTATTAAATTGCACCACCTTATTAACTCTGTCCAGCCCGAAGGTTGACTAGTTGAGAACGCCATCAGGTATTAAGCCCGCCGTGTATGCAATCTGTGTGTGAAAGAATAAATTACTATATTGTATAAAAATGCTATGTACAAAACATGAGATTATAATAAAAATATGCCACGACAAGGGATCTACTAAGAATTTGAGGTAGGATTAAAATGTAGAACAGGGTTTTGCCATTTATGTTTTCCATTTTATTCCGGATATACGGCCGCACCTTTCCTAGCTCGCTCCTTTATCCCAAAGATTATTCTAATCTTATTCTCGCACTGTATTTATGAATATATTCAAATGCCTGTTTGGTTACCTTTACCGTTGACTAATATAACCCTAAAAAGGAAATACTAAGATATATTTTCTAAACAGTTATTAAGTTCATTGGTTCCAAGAAAAACATTGAAATAATCAAATATCGGGCAGTCTACTTACGTTGTCACCTGTTAACATATTATATTATCGTAACCGTTTAAATATGTACCATTTATACCTTATCAACAGAAATCTTAAAAAAATATATTTAATCAAGAATAAATCCCATCTTATGTTTTATGCGCATATTTTGTATGTTGCCTCAGCACTGCTAATCTGACTTTCTACGGATTAGTCTATGACAGTACTCTTAAATGCAAAGGGAACTGGAATTGTTATCTATAAATATTTTTTTCGATAATTATGTATATACATATAAATATATTTCTATGTATATACATAATTATCTCTATGTATATACATATTTTTCTATGTATATATATTATTATCTATTTACATTCATTCACCGGCTCTATAAAGGCGATACTGGCTAATGAAATTGCAGTATGTGGATAATACCTAAGTCTCCGGAATGGCAATACAGGAAACACACCTCATCATGTAATACATGATGAGGTGATATCCGTGGCACACTTCAAATATATAGGCGACGCTTGCTAGTTACCACTGGAAATGTCAGCCTATTCGACGACATAATTCTTTTAGTGACTATATACATATTTTTAAATTGCTGTATATATATGTCAGAATAAAGAGAAAAAAGGAATAAGGTTTGTTGTTAATTACTTTCCACAGGCAACACAAAACTAAATAGCAAATACATACACAAAACAACAAATTTAAATAATTAATACTATTTGTATTTTTATAATTATCTACAATTACGGAATACAGAGTAGACGTAGGTAGGAGAAACAAAGTAGAGCTATTATATAAATATTTATGACGACGTATTAGTTGCTAACCGCTTACCTTTATTTCTGTAAATATAAGTTGAAAAGCATTAAAACTTTTTTAATCGAACTATTTTTTTAATCAAGTATTTAACATACTCATTTACCGGGGTTGTATTTGTATAAGGTCTTCTTGGCTAGTTACCTCTCTCTCAATGATGTTTACCAGCTTGGTTTGTAAGTTGTTTTAGATTAAGGGATACATATGGCTGTGATATTACAGGGTACGGAGACTTCATATAGTAGTCCTCCAGAATCCACAATACTTTGTCATTCCACGGGCTGCATATGATGACATGACGTAGTTCAAGTATACTCGTATAGGCGGACGCACGGTTGCCATATACTATCATGTCGGCTGCGGCTGGGTCATGTACTACCAAGCTTATTAGCTATTCCTTTTACAGAAAAAGGAGAAATAACTATATTAGTACTTAGATAGGCATTTTGGCTATATATAATACTTATTAAAATATAATTTAAGTTTACACTAAGGTAAATTTATTTTCAAGTGTTGTCAAAAACAGATCTAAACACACATCTAATCCATGTTTATAGAACTGAACTTATTGTCGTAGCAACTTACACATCAAAAATTGTAACGCATGAAACGTAGGTATCATGGGAATCACAGTGTACTTTATGATATTGGTGGTACTGTTCATATCAGAAAAATGTCGTTGAATCTTACATGACACGGGTTATTGTAGGCCGTAATTTAGAAAATCCCATTGGACTTGTAAGCGTTTTATCTCATATAAAGTATAACATCACTGGCTTGTTTGCTATGAAAGTTTCTTAAGCTGCTACGGGTTATTTTTGATTCAATCTACCAATATCATACAAACGGTCAGATCAGTTTGTGAATTATCTCTGAGGACAGACAGATAGACAATCAAATTTATTTCTTTCGTCTTCTTTTAAATTTTCGCCGGGTAGAATGTACTTTTGTGTAAAACACCTATATACAATAATACATTTGTAAATATTCATCTTCTCACCATAGAACATTGCAGATAAAAGATTATTTCGTATGAATTTGTAAATTTCCTAACCTATGTATCATTTTAAAATTAATTTCAAAGTTAATAAAATCATAAACGGTTAACTACTTACATTTATTTTAGCTTGCTAGCGATAGCATGGCGATTTAAATTTTATTTTACTGTCCTAATAAATTTACAACGTCGAATTTTATGTCTATATTTTTAGCTTTCATTGATTTTTATTATATAAATAAATAGAACGCGTTCGAATTTTAATTGTTTATTTTTTTATACATACCACTTGTACATTTATTGAGCAGAATATTTTTTATAAAACAGTATATATTTGAAACAATAGTTTTTAAATTTAACAAAATATAAAAAATAAATTTGAAATCTATCAAATATAAATATATTTGATAGATTTCAAATTTATTTTTTATCTATATTCTCTTTAAATTCTTTTAGACTAAAATTATATTTCCAATATCAAATAATATCAATCGTGAAAAAAACAGCCTCTATATCCTTTCCATTTCTTATCATGGCGCCACAGAGGCATCATTATCCTAGCCTGTTTATATAGCATCGTTATTTTTTCTTCAGACCAATTACACCTTGACCTCTTTTCTCTTTTTATACAGCTTTCTATAAAAATATTTTTATTATTTTATCTTTCTCATACATTAATATCAATAAACATGTTTAATAATAGTCTTTGTGACTAATATTTTATTTTATGAAATCCGTTATCATATACAATTTTCCTTTTTTATATTCTCTGATATATTGAATATATTAGAAATGCAGTGTTTAAACTAGTAATGTCAAATATTATTCTTTTGTATATAATCTATTTTCTTTATCTATATATATATATACAAAAATACATTATTAGGTTATTTTATTATGTTATATTGATAATATAATAAAATACATACGAGCATATTGTATAAATATTTTCAATTATTTTATACTTCACTTTTATTTTCTCTACAGTTGCATTTTCAGTAAGGCTCGAATTAAGTACAAGTCAAAGTTAGTACTGAACTTCGTCTTATCTCGATATGATCCATCACATTCAATCATATCCTACTTATCCCTAGCGTCATATTTGCCTTTCAGCGAAGCTCGATGGGTCGTAGAGATATGACTTCTTTGTTTTTATACATTTTTTTTGCAATTTTCTTTAAAAATAATAGTTATAATTATTTACAAATCACTATCACTAAGTCAAATAAAAATATATACTTATTGTATTTTTATTTGATTTAGTGATAGTTAGTATAATTTTAGTAGATTTGTTTCAGGAGATAAATCAATGTTACTGTACTTATATTTACTCTATTTATTAAACATTAAAAAAAACTTTGGATTGAAACATTCTTTAACTTTGTATTTCTTCGTTATATATTTAAAATCCAGTGGAATAGATATAGGGGAAATATAAACAAAATATTACATTTAATATTATGCAGATTTGAGTTCATAATATACCGATAAACTTCAATAAACATGTTATGCTAGTTTAAGGAAAAAACCAGGTAGTTTACATTAACTATTTAATAATCATTGGAATAATCAATTTGATATGTTCGCTAGGACAAATATAACTTCTATAACTTGTAATTAAACCAAAACGGGTTTCTACCATCATGATTCTGTAAAATAGGCTATTTTTAGCTACTAAGGTAGCCTAATACTTCATTTTTCTAAATATATAATTTAAATTACTTATGATGACGACATATTTTTTTATGTTGACGAATAAAAAATAGTAATGACTAGTTTTTAATCGAAAGTAAGGTTTTTTTTAATTGGACTGACAACCAAGCTGATTGCTCACATGTATGAATGTTATGGACATCACAATAACATGTGACACCCGTGATAATACTCATTCCACGACATTCCAGAGGACTTTTATCATAGGAGAGACTGAGGTACCCACGCAAATGCCTTTTTACAGTGATAAGTAAAACTGAAATAACAAGTTTATTTTAATAATTTAATTAACTTAATGAAATTGAAACAATTATTCTTATAGAAAAGTCAATTTTATATTGAATCCACTGAACGAGTAATATCAAGGATACTCTAAGCGAAACTCATAGAACGGTTTTTGTCTACCGACCACCTGCCTGACCGTGACTCCACAGGAGTCAGAAGGAGGACAAAGAAATAATGTCTGGAAAGACATTATTTCTTTGTCTAATTTTTGCCTACTAGATTGCAATCACTAATAGGGACCATGTAGGCCGCGGTCGGTCATCCATGAGCAATGCAGATGAACGATGACATCAGTAGATGTATTCGGCACTGATCAAGATGTTTTTCTTTTTAGCCTTTTGTAAAATAATTAACTTTTTCTATTTTTTATTTTTACTTTTTCTATTTTATGTTAATTAAATACTATTTTTAAAGTTTAAGTACCATTTATACTTATATATACTTATTAAAATCACTGTGTAGAGTATTGTGGTAAATGACAGTCTCAAGTTCCGTAAAGTTGAGTTTGCACACTTTTGGCCAGTAATACATAACAACTAATAAAGCAGTTATGATACCTACAAGCTAAACGCAACGTTGCAAATCGTCAGGATTGAAAGTGAAAATGTTTTTCTTAAGTAACAATTTTGTTTCAAGGCAAAATACAGTTTATAAATAAAGTGTTTATATGATATGCAAGAGATACATTTCATACGAGCCATACGGAATAAATGCTAGCACATCATCTCGTTACAAAATATGGGACACGACGCGGGGCGCTCAGCAAAATGTGTCCCATTGCTCTTTGTGTCGCCTTCTTTTGTTCAATGATCTACTCACGCATTCTATGCCAAGGTATTAGCTTGTATAAATATAAAAAAAATGGTCAATGTTTTTCAATTGACTTTTTAATATTTAATGTACTAATGTATCTCCTGTTTATCGCCATTGTTTTCTGCGTACCTGATGCACTCCCTGGCTTCGTTCGGTCAAAATTTTGTGAGTTTTAATACTATATGGATAGCATTTGTATATATAATATATTCATATATCACTCTGAAATAACATACCATTCAGCGAAAGACTTTCTCAGTTCTGCGCAGTGATTCGGAAGTTTATTTTCCTCATGAAAATCTAGATCCTCTCTTTATCATTTTAGCCTAGATGATGTGTATCCTAACCTTCATTTTTTACATAGTATTGGAATAGACATAATATCTCTTTATTCACGTTGGTATTGCTGCTTGCAAAAGTTTTTTTTTTATAATACCGATGTGGGCAAACAGGCTACGGCCCGTCTGATAGTATGAGGTTACAGTCGCCTATTGGCATTTACATTATCATGCAGGTCACGTTCGATTCGCTGTCCTCAAAAGAAACTTTTCACACTCCTTTCGAAACCGAAGCTGTAGTAGGTATCTTGGGAATACCTCAATAAGAAAGTTCGTCTAAATATTCGTTATATAATGTAACAGTTTTTACTCTGCTAAATTAACAAAGACATTTCTTATAAGATTCAATATTAAAATAAACAGTATATATACGATAACACGATGTTATCGTATATATACTGTGGATATATATGTATTTTCAGGTATTTATTTGTTTATATGACGCTCAATTTCACTTTATCATTAGGTACAAAAAGTAAGTACTAAATGTAAATTGTATTATGTCTACTTTTAAGCTATTTCCTGAACAATTATTATTCTACAAGTTAAATTAAGGGTATAATTTGGCTTTTAGGTGCTAAACTGCCCGTGTTGATAATAGTGTTAGATTAGTGAGTGTTTTAGTTAAATTCAAATGACCAGCTTAATATAAACATCGACTGCTAGTGCGTAATATTTTATATCAGAATTACTAGTAAAAGAAATTACTTCCTGTGAAATGTTAATGAATAATTATCGCAGTCAGAAAGTTCCTGTAGTAGAGGTCGCTAGCCTTTTAAAACAGACAATTTATTAAAAATGAGATCAAATGAAAGAAAATTATTTCATTTAACAAAATTGAACATTTTGACAACACAAAGACAAAGCTTGTGGGCAACAATAAATTTAATCAAAATATCTAAAAGTGACAGGGATCAAAAACACAACACTGACGTTATTAAATAAGAGATCGCCCGTGGCTGTAGGGGGCCGTTTTTTTACTTTTGCTCGTTTGTCCCTCGGGAGTAGGTATAACATTTAACCGAAATACAATTGTATATATATACAAGACTAAACTCTATTTTTATAATGAATTTTGAGGACCCCAAAACACGTTAAGATTCTCCCTAGTCTGCACAAACCTTAACTATCACCTATGTAACATAATTTGGTTAATATAAATGTATAATAGTAGGTACAGGGTATTATGGACAGGCTTAGTTGTAACAAGCAAGCATACCAAGCGGTACTCATAGTATTCATGGCAAGGAATTAAGAATACTTTTTCGAAGAGCAATAGTGCTCAAGTATAAACATAAATATTATTTTTTTATGTTGTTGAATCAAGAAATAATATTTCAGTAATATTTATTACGTTACTTGTAAGCAAATGTTTAACATCTTACCTACCTTTTTCTGTCATACAAAACAATTTTATTAATGTGTTATATCTAATGAAATAATATATATATGTATTCCAAAAAATATTCAAATAGGTTTTTTTTAAATTAGATGTGTCGGAATAGGTAAAATGTGCAATGTCTACAAATCTACCAATTAATAGGGGATTCTATTTTCTCGGCCACCCGTAATGAAGTTTTATTTGTTACATGCGAGGTTTAATTAGAGCCTCTATAGTAAGGCTTAAGGCTTTTTCAACGGTCACCTTCGTACTTTTATCTTTGTGAAACTATTCAGAGGTATTTTATTTATTATTAGTTTTCATGTATACATTAATTATAACGTACAATTTGTACCTTACTAGAACTAAAATTATTAATGTTCTATAGTTTAATATTTTAACATATTAAACAAAATATTACTAGACATTCTAACTACCGAAATTTTTCTGGAAATGATTTAATTAGTTCTTGATAAGTTTGTCACGATAGACTAACTGTCCTGACATCATGACACTTTTTCTATTATCCAATTATCATCCATCAGTTTCATTATCATCAGTTCAGTATCATCATCAGTTTAATCTAACCTTGGAAGTCATTAATAGTTAATTCCTGGTAAATTCGCCACGACCAGTTAATTGACCTGATTTTATGCTCATCTTTTCCAATATCCTCCCCTGGTGTCCTGTTAGCGTATACCCTCTACGAAGGCGGTTATATTATTATGATATATAAAAAATCTATTCTTTTTCTTTGGGTAGGTAAAATAATTTGTTTATTGGATTAAATAAATGAATGTTAATTAGAGGTAAATAAATAAAACATTTACAGCAATTTTCACGTGAGTACAAATATATCCAACATTTTAATTAATAAGTAGACAACATTATTAAGTATACAAATTCACGAACAAACATACTTTCACAGTTATACGATGAACTAAGCGTAAATGAGTTCAAATAAAATAATTACTTTAAATAAGCTTTATCAAAACAAATCTTGACTCTAAAGTTAATTATGAACACAAGAACTAGATATACAGGTCTTAATTAATTGTTTTAAACTAAGTAATAATGTATTAAATATCATGAGATATTTTCGTTGTTAAGTAATTGTACTATATATAACTCTGTTATAGTTGGACATTTCTCAAGAGGAAATAGAAATTGTAATAAAAATGTTGTCTGTGATTAAACTAATCTTTGCGTTTACTAAAATTATATAAAAGTCATTTGTAATAAAAACTTTAATTCAACATAACATCGGTGAGACAAGGTCACCGTTTTCTTCTGTTGTAATCTATAAAATTTTTCATGTAATTGCCATTTCGGAGGTCTAAATTGTCCTGTCTTTAGTAACCGAATTACAGCAAAAGCACGCTGCTCGGCGGCTGAAATAAGTAGAGAGAGATAGATACACTAATGACTGTTTACAAAGTCTACCTGTGTGAAATTACAGCGTTTGCTACTAGGCCTAACATTTTTTTATAAGTTAACATCATCTCCAGTTATAAACATTTTTCAATTGAAAATAAACATAGTGCTTGGCTATGTACTATACTGTATTGTTGGGCTGTGTATTATAAAGTAAAAAAGGGTACGAAAAGGTTATTCATTATGTCTAAAACGAAGGCCCCTAAATTTTGCCGCAATTTGCAGTAATAGTTATTTTGATGACTGTCACTATAGCGCAACATCAAATTAGTTACTGTCAGACTGCGTTCCAACTTCAATTCACATGGGCTACATTTATTAGGATTTTAATCCCAATGGATTGTTTCTTGGGAAGTATCGCATATATAAGCATTAACATAACAAAATTAACTTTACTCCTTATACGCGCAGAAAATTAAGTTTTTTACTTGAAACAATGAATTGAAACGCAGCAAACCATTTCACGTATTATTTCTGTTTATTCTTTTGATTAGGTATATAGTATACTAATTATATCAATTCCACTATTGTCTTGAACGTAACTTATAAAACTTAGTCGTATACCAACTTATATATTGAATGTTATATTTCATTACGCAGGTATAAAGTGTTTTCAATTTTATCATTTGATAAATGTTTCCTTTCCCATTTAATTTCGTTTTTCATATATATTTTTCATAGATAAACTTTTGGGCATATTGCGGTCTGATATCTCATGAATGAACCACTTATTAAAAAAACATTTAATTTTAATACTTTCCACTAACTTATTGAGGGGAGGCTCTCTTTGCACAACGTACTGTTTTGAATCGACTTCAAACAGTAGCAGTTTTGAAATTCGTCCCTAATTTTTTTAAATTGAAAGATAGTGATGCATGGACTTAGAATAGATATCTGGAGTTGGAGGAACCATTGCTGCATTCCGTAAAGATTATTAGGTGTGATTGATATAGGCTTATGTAATTTTTTTAGAAATAATGGAGTTTACTTTGATTATGGTTTCAATTCATTTAAATATGAATGAGCACAAAATTCCATAACATCAACGTACTTCTTTTCTTATTAGGTCTATTGTACGAGAGCATACCTCAACGGGTATATAAATGAGCATGACGATTGTTCCAAGTTTATTTGAATTTAAATATAATACAAAATATATGTGCTAAATTGAAAAATTGTAGAATGCATGATCAAATTATGAAATTTTCGTTTTTACCATAAAGCTATGGAAATCTTAACAGAAAAATTTGAAAGATACGTTACCACTTGTATTATTCATAAGAAATGGAATGAAGATAACTTACCATATAATTTACAGAGGGGAATAATGTGCAAATAGGCGGCATGAAATCGCTATCAGCGTTTCCAGCGAGTGCCAGATTATTCATTCGTGAAATAGGTAGAGAGTAATCGTATTTTGTATATATACATGTATTTACATACGAAGACTGTAATGTAACTTGTTGGACATGTCTGTAAAAAAAATAAACCCAACTAAACCTAAAATTGACTCAAGCAATTGTTATTCAATATAGAGATATAAGAAACCCATTGACTAGAATCTCGATTAAAATATTGTTATTGATGCCTAAAATATGTATATAGGAGTTGGTATTTATAATATATATATTTAAGATCGCGGCTATTTCTCTACAATAAATACAATATAAAATTTAATTTTTACCTACTTGTAATTACAATGTTCTTATGTAGGAATCTACGTATCACTTATTACAATATTTTGTTTTGTTTTTTTTTTGTCATTTTTTCTCAAAAGCATTGGTTTTATGCCACATTTTTCTGTGATTAAAATGACAGGCAAATTGACGGGCCACTTGATATTAAGTTGCCTCTTACCATATTGCCTATATAGGACACATCACCACGGATATCACGTCATCATCGTCTTCATGTGACGCTCAAGGTACTCCTCGTGTGTTGCTATTCCGGAAGACTACAATTTTGTACCTATATATCACCTTTCAAACTGAAATGCAGCTAAAGCAATCTGCTTACCGGCAGAAATAGGTAAAACATAGGCACACACGCAGACGACTCTATACGCTTGTATTTATATATCTATAATTTACCAAGGTAGGTTCTTACCTACCTTGGTAAATTATATTTTTTACCATATCTTCTCTAACATTAAAAGAATGGTTCATGAAGATTCGCTCCATCAAGTCGCCCGCGGCACAGTAAGGAAAACAGCTATAAATACCTATTAAAAATCTTCGAGGAAAAAAAAAACTTGCTGTCGTACTTACAGGCTCCGAAGCAAATGTTATGATTAACTTATGAAACAAAAAATCACAAAGTTCTTTCCATAAATCTTACATAAATTATAATAATAATAAGGATGATAAATAACCATTAACTCAGCACCAATGGGCCGGGTGTTCCCCGCGGGTGAATATTCTTCATTGCAAAGTACCGAAAATGGTTAGATACTTACGAGAATTTAATCATTTCTGTCTTCAGAAATTGAAAAGGATGGTCTAAATTGAAGGATTAGGTGTTCATCTGTGTCAATATGATAAGCGTCGAGAAAGGCCTTGGTTATGACGTAAATGTTAAATGCAAACAGAGAACAAAGAGCGTAGCCGAGATTGGTCAGATTTCAACGGTGGCAATAGAAATTTCATTCCTGTTCGTTTCGATTTCATCTTGTAATGCTTATAAAGTTCTCAGCTGCAGCATTCTCTAACTTTATATCTATTATAATGATTGAGTAAAATATAACTCGTGTTTCATCCACGTTTATTTAGTGTCAAATGGGAAAAACCCGAAATTTGATATAAGGATAATAGGCACCCCGGTAAGGTGTAAAGGGATAAATTGACAAGTGATTGACATATTACATTACGCTTTGCTTTAGAGCAAAACGTACGTATATGAGTGGAGAGTATTTCAGAAGGAACTAAATATTTGTGAAATTGAACGAGTTGGCTGAAAGCATGAGTTAAAAGATGAAAAGAATTTTTAATATTTCCCATGCATAATTGAAAGGTTCAAAAATTATTTTCATATTTCGAATACTTTCATTGAATAAAACTCAATAAGTTTTAAGGAATATTATCGCAAATTTCAATCTACTAGTTACCAATACTAGTTGAAAACAACAGTCAACAGTCATATTGTGTACAGTATGACTGTTGACTGTTGTTTTCAAAACAATATCTTGTAAATGCTTATAATAATAAATGTAATACATCACCGTCGTTTTTTAACGCTACAAGATGTTATATACATTTTTATTAGTCTGTTCAAGCATTACTATAAACTGATGATTAATCCAAATTCATTCTTCTTTTAAGGTACTATGAAAGACTAGAATGGAGTTAGTGAAGTGTAAGTGTGGGTGGCGAACTAGTTATAGTTAGACTGATGTGCACTGAGGGACTGATCACGTGTTGCCGAAGTTGCAAGACAAATAAGTGAAGTGACTTATATGAGACGAGCTGGATCAACACAAATTTAGTGGCATGGAGCTGATACCATCGAATGGAGGCCGCATATATGTGGCATTCTTTGCGACCATCTTTTGGGGAATGGGTGAGTTAAGTTATAAATACGTATTGACTATATTAGTATTTTTTTAAAGATAATACCGGAACGATGGTTTCATTTGCACTAATGATACACTATGGATTGGAGAATGATAATATGGAGACGAAAACAGTCAGATTTATTAGTTTTGATGATTCCTCCCGGAATTACTAATCGTAATGATTTTCAAAGAGGTCAAGTTAGAGTTCTGGTAATGGGACATTACGAGAACTCTAACTTGACCTCATTTGAGACTCATTTGAGACTCAAACAATATAATGAAAAAAATAGTAAGTATATCTTTGTTTTTCTTCCTCAATATAACGTGAGTAACAACTAGCGGACCAAAGATGTAAACAGAGCATAAAAGAAAGGGATACTTAGTAGCAGGATTTCAATGAGTTAGTATAGAAGTAGGTATTACCTATTATTATTTTAAAAAACAAAAATAAAGTTACTTCTAATTAAAAAAACAACTAATTTGATGTAAAATTTAAGATATTATTTCATTAGACTCTATCTATAATGCCAAAAAGAAAAATGTCTGTCTGTATCGCTCATACCGTGATTAAACAGTCGATCGAGTCGGATGGTAATGAAATTTGATATGAAATTTAAATGGATTATGAGGACGAATAAGGTTGAACATGGGCTATTTATCTCACTAGTGCGTAATAGTATCAACGGAAGTACGTTAATAGCGTCCGAAATGCATGACTTGTCTATGGAAAATGTTAAACAATCAGCATTAGTTTACTTAATAACAAATAAAAAGTGTTTATGTCTGTATCTTCTAAAAATTAAGATAAATTTCGTCTGTCAATAGACAATGTAAATGAATATCAAATTCACGATTCGACGAAGTTGGTAATTTAATTTGGGACAAAGAAATAATATTGAAACTATTAGGATGAGACATGAGAAACCTCTAGTTAATGGCGTTCAATTCAATCCTTTTCTATTTAGTAATGGCCTCGTCACTAATAGAACAGGCATATTTTGTATCATAACCGGTGAAGGTTGACAAAACAAGCACTGAAATTCGATATCCGCTGCTAACATTGTCATCTAACGTAAACATCGCTTAGTTATTATTGTTAAGTGGTGTTTTTGTATACATGTCAGTTATGTGTTATGAATATACAATGAATAGATATGGTTGCCATGGCCGATATTCTCTATCTAGGTAACTAGAAAAACGTATTTTTAGGTTACTAAGTTGAATATGATGTTAGCGCTGACGAGATTGTTTAAAAATATAAAACATATCGTAGATATGGCTGTGATTTATCTATGTAGATGTGTGTACAGCCGTTGCGTGATCAACTTCAGACATTCAACCTTTCTAATTTCTCCCATTAAAAATTAACTAGTAGGATTTGAATACAGATTATGTCAGTTATTAGAAAGACTAATAAAACACGTGCTTATCTATCTAATCTTACATTACAGTACTACAGTACTGTAATGGAGCTTTAGTGCTAAAATTAATGTAAATATCTCCAAGTCAGATGTAGACCTACCGTCTAGTCGGATAGTTACAAAAAAGATTTATAATCGACGGTACTCTTTGGCTTATCTGTAGTTGAAAAATGCATCGATTTCATATATTATGAATATAAGGTATAAGTCCAACCTATCTATGTATTTAATATCTAGTTATCCTAAAGAGATACTTGATTTAGGTACTTGTAAATATTATACTTATTATATAACGTTGTGATATTTTTTGTAGTTTGTAAATACCTACTCCTTTTTATGCGGAATTAAATAATATGAATCTACGAAGTTCAGCTTTTATCTTCAAAGGATTTCATTTTTTATACTCTGCTCACTTTTAAAATTGTATAATTTACTTATGCCCTTTGTAAAGAATGCTTTGCTTTGATTACGACAGAACGTTTATTTTTTATTTACGTACAAATGGTTCTATAAAAAATACAGTACAAGAATAGAATTTATACTCATTTGTAAAGTAATAGTAGTATTTTATTTATTAAAAGGCAAATTTTCTGCAGAAATGTAAGAAACATATTTTCACATGTACGACAAATGTGTTATTTCATACTACTTTGAAAATAACTAAATAGTTATTGTAATATATATAAAATTCTATTAAACTTATAATTGCAACTTAAAATATGTATTATACTATATTAGCAAAGGTGTGTTATGTCTAAAAGAGATTAAACGAAAATTTAGGCATAATTAAATAAAAACAATTAATTTTTAATAAAAAATAATTACTGTCCTAAAGTCTTTGAGTCGAGAAAAATACCTCAACGTTGTTGAATTTCAGAGGAAGATTAGGGGTGTAATCTCAATATTAAGGTTGGTAAATGTAAATATCAATCGCCCCAGAAAATTTGCCTTCATTATATCTGACTGAAAAAATATCTGTTGCAGATATAAACGAATTTTATTATTACCGAAAGTAGACCCTCTGATATCAGTAGCGGTCTTATCCGACCGTCAATGTGAGGAAGTGAAGTTGCTCCTTTAAATATCAATTGCTATTGTGCCTTTGTGCTGCGACCTTTTCTGTGTTTCAATCAAATAATGAATCTTCGAAGCAGGCTTATATCTTAAAAGGAATGTTTTTGCACAAATGCCGAGAACGTGATATTGCTAGCAATAAGAGCAGATTGACTTTTGCACTGATCTATTTTATGCTCGATCCTTTCCTCAGATATTTTAATTTAAACTTTATTACTAAAACCATAAATCACACGTATGTGATGATTTTTAAGTGTGTGAACGGTAAAAATGCTATCTGTGTTGAATTTACGTCTGAAGTCTTTTGATTAAGTTTTATCTTTATTAATATTTGCTACATGGTTTCGTAAAGTTAAGTAACTAAAATGGAAATTAATTGGATTTTACATTACGTCATTCTTAAAGTTTATTTCATAAAAGTTGATTCTTGTGCTTTTAGTTAAATATTCAGATACTCGGAGTAAAATAGGGATAGAAAGTTTGTTGTGAAATAAGTTTTTAAGTCCTAAAAACAAAAATTTAATTATTTCTTATATTTTGGCTTTAGATTATAATTACGTTATACAAAAATAATTCGGTGTTTATAAAATTTATACATTTAAAGAGGGTACCTCTTTACCTTGTACCTTATAGTAATTTGAACAGAAATACGTCATTTCGAATGCGAAATCTGTATAATAATCTTTGGTTTTTGATGTCTTTAAGTAGTTTTGTAATTTCCGTCTGTACAGGGTTAGTACACATTTTAATGATCTACGTAACTGCTTCTTAAAAATATATTATTAATAATATTATATGCTAAAAATTATGTTTCAATTAACATTATTTACCCGTACGGTACCGGGATATATCACCTATACATACTTGGTTACTATATAGATAACATGATATTAATAATATAAAAACAAATATAAGAAAGTACTATACAATAAAAACAAATATTACGAACTAATAAACGAAATAACTAAATTGCTACGTAGTTAATTTATGTATATGCGATCAAAGTAGGAGTGAGAGGTATACCAGCGAAATCTCTTTCTTCTAAAAGATATTGGCCTGTCTAGAATTGCAGTTAGTTCTATAATAGAACCTGTATCTAAAGCTACATTAGCAGGCTTCTGCCATATTCAGCTGAGCTGTGTGAAGACGAGTGTTGATGTACGTCGGCAAGGGGCACCTTAAATCTACTCCCGGGAACCGCTGGGAGTTTCTCTCTTTCTCGTACGTTGGACCTAAAATGTATAGGTACATTATGAATTTAATAACTACATTTTCACAAACTAGTTGACCCGCAAAACTTAGTATGCACCATATACATTGTTTTAGTGTAATATTTTTTACACTCTGCTCCTATTGGTAGTAAAGCCATGTCATAATTTTCCTCGGTACCACTTACCGAGGAAAATTATGTAATATCTTTAGTATTAACTAATACTAAAGAATTTTTAAATTTTAAGTTAAATAATTATATAACTACCTATTTAAGCGAATACTGCAATTTTTCTATTTGTTTAAAATTCGAAACCTGTTCTTGAAAAAACTTTAGCACAAAACTTGGGAATTAAAAGGGCTTATTACAAAGCAAAATTCAAAAGTAATCCATTTTGACTCTCGTCTCGCGTAGAGTAAAATGGACGAAACTCCTGACTCGTAAAAACTTTTTGAAGTTTGTACGTAGCTAGCTGCCTTGAATAGCGATAGCCAATTCAATGCTTAACGCCTATTATAATTTTTATGTCATATTTTAAGGAATAATATTTTTGATATCTAAATGCATAGTTATATAAATATCGTGGCAATGTATACACCTTTTAGCGTCATATTTGTAGATTGTAATTTTTTCTTTATTTTCGACTTAATTTCTCCCTTTATCTAGCAAATACTTGTTATTTTAATTTGTGAATTTTTAAATTACTTATTAAATAACCATTACTTGTCGGCAGGAGACTGTTGAGCATTTTTTCTTCTCCTAGATTCTTTTTTTCATAGTCATAGCATAATTTCTAGTCAAAATACTACTAAATATTAGTCGTATTATTATTATAATATTTATACTGATTCTTACATTAAGTGTCTTAATAGCATAACGATTTCATAATAAATTGATTAATAGAGGGGCGCCACCTGCAGTCTTTGATAGCGGTTGTGTTGTCACTTTGTGCTTTATAATAATTAGATAAACGTACTAATTCATTCTGAAAAGTATATATACATACAAACCTATTTGTGATATAGTGTATACAGTGTTATCCAGTCTAAATTCAGTGTCTTGTGAAAGAAAAACGAACCACTAACGAAATCTGGTAAATACGTAACCTACCCTCCTTATAACAATATTTTATGGGCGCACTTCAATCAGTCATACATAGTCTTGATACAAGTAATGCCATCTCACGACGCTTGGAGGAATTTGTTTGAAAACAAACAATATTCACTACAAATGGCTAAGTGCGGAGGTTGCGGCAGGTTTCTGAATGCATCGGACGCTGCAAAATGTAATAACTGCCATA